GGAAAAGGTTAAAAGGAGATTTTAAAGCCAGGTATCAAAAGAGCTGAGCATGTTTAGCCTGCGGATGAGAAGGCTGAGAGGAGACATGATGGCCATGTATATGTATGTGGGGGGAAGTCATAGGGAGGAGGGAGCAAGCTTGCTTTCTGCTGCCCTGGAGACTAGGATGTGAGAACATGCCTAATGAGGAGAGGCTCAAAGAGCTGGGCATGTTTAGCCTGCAGAAGAGAAGGCTGAGAGGAGACATGATGGCCATGTATAAATATGTGGGGGGAAGACATAGGGAGGAGGGAGCAAGCTTGTTTTCTGCTGCCCTGGAGAGTAGGATGGGAACAATGACTTCAAACTACAGGAGATTCCACCTGAACATGAACTTTTTAACTATGAGAGCTGTTCAGCAGTGGAACTCTCTGCCCCAGAGTGTGGTGGAGGCTCCTTCTTTGGAGGCTTTTAAGCAGAGGCTGGATGGCCAACTGTTGGGGGTTATTTGAATGTGATTTTCCTGCTTCTTGGCAGGGGGTTGGACTGGATGGCCCATGAGGTCTCTTCCAACTCTAGGATTCCATCATATTCACAAACCTTGTATCTCAATCCAAACCCCACTCTCCTGATTAAACAGAACAAGCTGCAGTCTTTTAAACTATTATTATTATTATTATTATTATTATTATTATTATTATTATTACTGATGGGGCAAGACAGAGGGCTACCTAAAACGACATGGCCAACTGGGTTTAGCCCTGAGTTGGCCACATGGGATATGAAGTGTCTATGGCCCCTTCTACACTGCCATATAATCTACATTATCAAGTCAGATAATCCAATTTAATAATAATAATAATAATAATAATAATATACTTTATTGTATCCTACCCCATCTCCACAAGAGGACTTGAGGCGGCTTACATGGCAACACAGCGCAGAATAAAATACATAAAATTTAAAGCAAAATTAATCAAAAGCAGTAGAAACACTGAGTCAAATAAATTTACAACAGACAAGATTGAAGTAGAGGAAGTCAATCAAAATGGAATAACAATAAAACACAATAATAAATTGTAGCTAAAAGTTGCTTTGAGCTGGATTATATGATGCTGGATCTACACTTGCCATATACAATCCGCTTTGAACTGGATTAGATGGCTATGCAGACTCATATAAGACAGTTCAACACAGATAATGTGGATGGTGTTGAACGATATGGCAGTACAGAGCCAGCCTGAGTCTATACAGCCATATAATCCAGTTCAAAGCAGATAATATGGATTTTAGATGGCAGTGTAGAAGGGGTCTTAAGGCCCTTCCACACAGCTGTATAACCCAGAAGATCAAGGCAGAAAATCCCACAATATGTGCTTTGAACTGGGTTAACTGAGTCCACACTGCGTTATAATCCAGTTCAAAGCAGAACATGTGGGATTGTATTCAGCTGTGTGGAAGGGGCCTTGGAAACATCAATGAATGTTGTGTTTAGATTTGGGGTTCCACCTCCCCTGCCAAATGACAGCTATTCCCAATGGAGAGGGGAGATATTCGAAATGCAAAACACAGCCATATAATCCAGTTCAAAGCAGATAATATGGATTTTAGATGGCAGTGTAGAAGGGATCTTAAGGCCCTTCCACATAGCAGTATAACCCAGAAGATCAAGGCAGAAAATCCCACAATATCTGCTTTGAACTGGGTTAACTGAGTCCACATTGCCATATATCCCAGTTCAAAGTAGAAGATGTGGGATTTTATTCAGCTGTGTGGAAGGGACCTGGGAAACATCAATGAATGTTGCATTTACATTGGGGTCCTACCTCTCCTGCCAAATGACAGCTATTCCCAATGGAGAGGGGAGATATTGGAAATGCAAAACATTCCCCCCCACCCCCAAGAAAGGACACTCCACATGGATTAACTAAGTCCACACTGCCATATATCCCAGTTCAAAGCAGAGCATGTGGGATTTTGGGTTGTTGTGGGGGTTTTTTGTGCTAAATGGCCATGTTCTAGAGGCATTCTCTCCTGACGTTTCGCCTGCATCTATGGCAAGCATCCTCAGAGGTAGTGTGGGATTTTATTCAGCTGTGTGGAAGAGGCCTGGGAAACATCAATGAATATTGCATTTAGATTTGGGGTTCCACTTCCCCTGCCAAATGACAGCTATTCCCAATGGAGAGGGGAGATATTGGAAAGACAAAACATTCCCCCCACCTCCAAGAAAGGATGCTCCACATGGATTAAGTGAGTCCACACTGCCTTACATCCCAGTTCAAAGCAGAACATGTGGGATTTTATTCAGCTGTGTGGAAGGGGCCTGGGAAACATCAATGAATGTTGCGTTTGGATTGTGGTCCTACCTCTCCTGCCAAATGACAGCTAGTCCCAATGGAGAGGGGAGATATTGGAAATGCAAAACATTCCCCCCACCCCCAAGAAATGACGCTCCACACAGATTAACAGAGTCCACAATGCCATATATCCCAGTTCAAAGCAGAAGATGTGAGATTTCATTCAGATGTGTGGAAGGGGCCTTGGAAACATCAATGAATGTTGTGTTTAGATTGGGGTCCCACCTCTCCTGCCAAATGACAGCTATTCCCATTGGAGAGAGGAGATATTGGAAATGCAAAACACTGCCATATAATCCAGTTCAAAGCAGATAACATGGATTTTAGCTGGCAGTGTAGAAGGGGTCTTAAGGCCCTTCCACACAGCCATATAACCCAGAAGATCAAGGCAGAAAATCCTGCAATATCTGCTTTGAACTGGGTTAACTGACTCCACACTGCCTTATATCCCAGTTCAAAGCAGAACAAGTGGGATTTTATTCAGCTGTGTGGAAGGGGCCATGGAAACATCAATGAATGTTGTGTTTAGATTTGTGGTTCCAGCTCCCCTGCCAAATGACCACTATTCCCAATGGAGACGGGAGATATTGGAAATGCAAAACATCCCCCCCAGCCCCAAAAAAGGACACTCAACACAGATTAACTGAGTCCACACTGCCATATATCCCAGTTCAAAGCAGAAGATGTGAGATTTCATTCAGCTGTATGGAAGGGACCTTGGAAACATCAATGAATGTTGTGTTTAGATTGGGGTCCCACCTACTCTACCAAATGACAGCTATTCCCAATGGAGAGGGGAGATATTGTAAATGCAAAACATTCTTCCCACCCCATCCCAGCCCCAAGAAAGGACGCTCCACACGGATTAAGTGAGTCCACACTGCAATATATCCCAGTTCAAAGCAGAAGATGTGAGATTTCAATCAGCTGTGTGGAAGGGGCCTGGGAAACATCAGTGAATGTTGCATTTACATTGGGGTCCTACCTCTCCTGCCAGATGACAGCTATTCCCAATGGAGAGGGGAAATATTGGAAATGCAAAACATCCCCCCCCCACCCCCAAGTAAGGATGCTCCACATGGATTAACTGAGTCCACACTGCCATATATCCCAGCTCAAAGCAGAACATATGGGACCTGGGAAACATCAATGAATGTTGTGTTTAGATTGGGGTCCTACTTCTCCTGCCAAATGACAGCTATTCCCAATGGAGAGGGGAGATATTGGAAATGCAAAACATTCCCCCAACCCCCAAGAAAGGATGCTCCACACGGATTAACTGAGTCCACACTGCAATATATCCCAGTTCAAAGCAAAAGATGTGAGATTTCATTCAGCTGTGTGGAGGGGACCTTGGAAACATCAATGAATGTTGCATTTACATTGGGGTCCTACCTCTCCTGCCAAATGACAGCTATTCCCAATGGAGAGGGGAGATATTGGAAATGCAAAACATTCCCCCCCACCCCCAAGAAAGGATGCTCCACATGGATTAACTGGGTCCACACTGCGATATATATCCTAGTTCAAAGCAGAACATGTAGGATTTTGGGTTGTTGTGGGGTTTTTTTGTGCTATATGGCCATGTTCTAGAGGCATTCTCTCCTGACGTTTCGCCTGCATCTATGGCAAGCATACTCAGAGGTAGTGTGGGATTTTATTCAGCTGTGTGGAAGAGGCCTGGGAAACATCAATGAATGTTGCATTTACATTGGGTCCTACCTCTCCTGCCAAATGACAGCTAGTCTCAATGGAGAGGGGAGATATTGGAAATGCAAAACTTCCCCCCACCCCCAAGTAAGGATGCTCCACATGGGTTAACTGAGTCCACACTGCCATATATCCCAGTTCAAAGCAGAACATGTGGGATTGTATTCAGCTGTGTAGAAGGGATGATCCACATGGATTAACTGAGTCCACACTGCCATATATCCCAGTTCAAAGCAGAACATGTGGGATTGTATTCAGCTGTGTAGAAGGGATGATCCATATGGATTAACTGAGTCCACACTGCCATATATCCCAGCTCAAAGAAGAACATGTGGGACCTGGGAAACATCAATGAATGTTGCGTTTAGATTGGGGTCCTACCTCTCCTACCAAATGACAGCTATTCCCAATGGAGAGGGGAGATATTGTTAATGCAAAACACCCCTCTCCCGCCCCACCCCCAACAAAGGACGCTCCACACACCAAGGTGTATATTGCGAGGCAACTTTACCTCCCTTTGACGCTCTGAGTCCTGCCTTGACCCTCTCCTCCATCAAGGATTTTGGAGACTGAACTTCTGCCTGGTTGTTGACATCCCCGGGAGTGGGACCCCTCCGTCTCCCGTCTCCTCCCTAAGCCTTGAACTTCTCCTTTTCCTGTTCAGAGCCTCCCCGATAGAAGGCTGCTTCAGCTTCCTAGCGAAGGGAAAATCAGCGTCTTTCCCTTCCTCTAAGGGTGAGGCCACACCTGGGCAGGTGATCGAGGCAGGAGCGAAAGCCAATCCAAAACAACCCCCCTGTCCCCTGCTTCCCAGGGTCCAGACCCCAGCCTGGAGAGAGGCAACTTCCCCAAGACTTGCTCAGGCGCAAAGGAAGAAAGGGGGATACCCAGCAGGATCCACGCCTTGAGAAGAGGAAGGAATCCCTCGTTTCCCGAGCTCAGCAGACCCACCTGAGGAGAGGCGCAGCAGCCTTGGCTGGACTCCGGAGCGGCATCCCTCCGGGGAAGCGCCCCGCGCTTGGCACCTTCCTCCTCCTCCTCTTCTTCCTCCTCCTCCTCCTCCCCTCTTTGCTCAGGGAGCGCATCCCATCGCCAGGCTCCTCCACTCCGCCCTTCCTTCGCTTCGGGTTGAGGAAAGGGGTGGGGAAAGAAGCAGGGAAGGAGAGCTGGAGGCGGGGAGGAAAGGCGAGGAATGGGAGGAGGTCAGCCCTCACGGGAACCCCACCCCACATAGATAGAGGGAGGCAAAGGCAGCACCCCTTCCTCCCCCTGGAAAACTTAGGAGCCAACTTGAAAAGTCCACACCAATCGCATCCATCTGTTTGGATTCAGTGCTGAATTCAGTGACCGGAATCACTGGGTCGTAGGCCTGTTTGATCAAGAAAAAATTTGTTTCTAAAATCGATTTGTAATTGGGGTGTTTTTTTTGTTTCGATATTTAAAATAATTACAAAACTTTCCAAAAAAAAGTTTTGGTATTTAAGAAATTTTGTAAATATTAACGAATTTTTAGAATATTTTTGGTATTTCTTAAGAATAATATTAAAATAATATTAAAAAATATTTTAAAATGGAAAATTAACCAAAAAATTGCCCAAATGTGGACCAAACACAGGCACGATACAGCAAATGAGAGCACACACCAACAGAAGAGTCTTTTCTTTTTTAGAATATTTTTTAAGAATAATATTAAAATAATATTAAAAATAATATTAAAATAATATTAAAAAATTTTAAAATGGAAAATTAACCAAAAAATGGCCCAAATGTGGACCAAACACAGGCAGGATACAGCAAATGAGAGCACACACCAACAGAAGAGTCTTTTCTTTTTTAGAATATTTTTTAAAAATAATATTAAAATAATATTAAAAAATATTTTAAAATGGAAAATTAACCAAAAAATGGCCCAAATGTGGACCAAACACAGGCAGGATACAGCAAATGAGAGCACACACCAACAGAAGAGTCTTTTCTTTTTTAGAATATTTTTAAGAATAATATAAAATAATATTAAAAAATAATATTAAAAATAATATTAAAAAATAATATTAAAAAATATTTTAAAATGGAAAATTAACCAAAAAATGGCCCAAATGTGGACCAAACACAGGCAAGAGACAGCAAATGAAGCAAGCAGCACTCACAGCAGCAAGGAATGAATCCAATCCCAGTTGCTAGCAGCCATTGCCAAGCCAACCCAATGCAAACTCTCTCGCCCTCTTGAAGCTACGGGCCGCGCGGAGCCGCTTTGAAAGGGCTCGCCGGCCAATCAAAAACAGGCAGCCACGGACCCATGGTGGTGCACTGTTTGGGAGCGCCGGATTGGCTCCCATGCACCAGCACTCCAGCAGCCTCCACCCCATTAACGAAACGAGCGGAGGCTCGTTAAAACTCTGGGGGCTGCTGGTTCAATATTTAAAAACCCTTCCGGGTTTGGGAATATGCTTCAATATCGCTTCGGAAATGGTAAAATTAACGAATTAATAACGAAATAACGAATTAACGAACGAAACCGCACAGGCCTACTGGGTTGTTGTTGGTTTTTTCGGGCTGTATAGCCATGGCATTCTCTCCTGACGTTTCGCCTGCATCTATGGCAGGGGTTCTCAACCTTCCTCATGCTGCGACCCCTTAATACAATTCCTCATGTTGTGGCGACCCCCAACCATAAAATTATTTTCCTTCCTACTTCATAACTGTCATTTTGCTACTGTTGTCAATCATATTGTAAATATCTGATACCCAGGATGTATTTTCATTCACTAGACCAAATTTGGCACAAATACCCGATACGCCCAAATTTGAATACTGGTGTTGATTTTGTCATTTGGGAGTTGTGGTTGCTGGGATTTGTAGTTCACCTGCAATCAAAGAACTCTACAAACAATGGAATTGAACCAAACGTGGCACACAGAACTCCCATGGTAAGCACAAAATATTGAAATGGTTTGGTGGCCATTGACCTTGAGTTTTTGGAGTTGTAGTTTGCCTACATCCAGAGAGCACTGTGGACTCAAACAATGATGGATCTGGACCAACCTTGGCACGAATATTCAACATGCCCAAATGTGAATATTGGTGGAGTTTGGGGAAAATAGTCCTTGACATTTTGGGAGTTGTAGTTGCTGGGATTTATAGTTCACCTACAATCAAAGAGCATTCTGAACAACAGAATTGGACCAAACTTCCCACATAGAACCCCCATGACCAACAGAAAATACTGTGTTTTCTGTTGGTCTTTAGTGACCCCTCTGACATTCCCTTGTGACCCCTCCAGGGGTCCCGACCCCCAGGTTGAGAACCACTGATCTATGGCAAGCATCCTCAGAGGTGGTCAGGCCCATAGCCAGGATTTCGATTGGGGGGGGGGCTGAGTTTGTTTCGGAGGGGGGTGAGTCTGAGTGAAAGAGGGTCTACCCTAGCAAAACTTTTGCATCGTTACCCCAATAACCCCATCCATATGGGATATATTGAGTATGGTGATCAGATCATGATATGAATAAACATAACCGTTTAAATAATGCACCAGTAAGGCCTTTTCGCGAACCACCATGAGAATTTCGGAGGGGGGGGTCTGAAGCCCCTCAAGCCCCCCCCCCCCCCCCCCCCCCCCCCCCGCTACATGCCTGGAGGTAGTGAGGTCCATTGGAACTAGGAAAAAGGGTTTATATATCTGTGGAATGACCAGGGTGAGACAAAGGACTCTTGTCTGCTGGAGCTAGGTGTGAATGTTTCAACTAACCACCTTGATTAGCATACAATGGGCTGACCGTGCCTGGAGCAAACCTTTGTTGAGAGGTAATCAGATGTCCCTGCCTGCTTCCTCTCTGTTGTTGTGCTGTTGCAATTTTAGAGTTTTTTAAATACTGGTAGCCAGATTTTGTTCATTTTCATTGTTTCCTCCTTTCTGTTGAAATTTATTATTTATTATTTATTTCTCTCACTTCTGCCCCGCCCTTCTCAACCCCCGAGGGGGGACTCAGGGCGGCTTACAAAAAGGCATAATTCGATGCCGGCACAACAACAAGGTAAAACAAATCCAACATATAAACAGGAATTAACCAATTAACCAATTAAAACAATTAAACAGTCCATTATATATCACTGTCCCTAAAAACAATCTAGCACTCAACGTTTATCAGCTCAGAGTCTGTAAATTCAAAATCCACATTGTCCAATCCAACAATTCTAGCCTTCGCTTGTGCCTTATCTATCCGCCAGATTACCCAAAGGCCTGGTCCCAAATCCATGATTTTAATTTCCTTCTAAAGGAAAAGAGGGATGTTGACCTAATTTCCCCCGGGGAGTGAATTCCACAGGTGAGGGGCCACCACCGAGAAGGCCCTGCTTCTCGTCCCCGCCAATCTCACTTGTGATAGAGGCGGGGTCGAGAGCAAGGCCTCCCCAGAAGATCTTAGATTCCGAGGTGGGACGTAGAGGGAGATCCGTTCGGACAGATACATGGGCCGGAACCGTATAGGGTTTTGTAGGTCAAAACCAGCACTTTGAATTGTGCTCGGAATAGGATTGGCAGCCAGTGGAGCTGACATAACAGGGGGTGGTGTGCTCCCTGTATGACGCTCCTGTTAGTACTCTGGCTGCCTCCCGCTGGACTAGTTGGAGTTTCCGAACAGTCTTCAAAGGCAACCCCACGTAGAGTGCGTTGCAGTAATCCAATCGGGATGTAACAAGAGCGTGGACCACCGTGGCCAGATCGACTTCCCAAGGTACGGGCGCAGCTGGCGCACAAGTTTTAATTGTGCAAAAGCTCTCCCGGCCACCGCTGAGACCTGGGGTTCCAGGCTCAGCGATGAGTCCAGGATCACTCCCAAGCTGAGAACCTGCGTCTTCAGGGGTGGGCTGTCTGTGCCTGGAGCAAACTTTTGTTGAGAGGTAATTAGATGTCCCTGCCTGCTTCCTCTCTGTTGTTGTGCTGTTGCAATTTTAGAGTTTTTTTTAATACTGGTAGCCAGATTTTGTTCATTTTCATGGTTTCCTCCTTTCTGTTGAAATTGTCCACATGCTTGTGTATTTCAATGGCTTCTCTGTGTAGTCTGACATGGTGGTTGTGAGAGTGATCTAGCATTTCTGTGTTCTCAAATAAAATACTTTGAAATACACAAGCATGTGGACAATTTCAACAGAAAGGAGGAAACCATGAAAATGAACAAAATCTGGCTACCAGTATTAAAAAAACTCTAAAATTGCAACAGCACAACAACAGAGAGGAAGCAGGCAGGGACATCTAATTACCTCTCAACAAAAGTTTGCTCCAGGCACAGTCAGCCTATTGTATGCTAATCAAGGTGGTCAGTTCTTTTCTTTCTTTTTTTGGTCGTGTCAGGAGCGACTTGAGAAACTGCAAGTCACTTCTGGTGTGAGAGAATTGGCCGTCTGCAAGGACATTGCCCAGGGGACGCCCATGATTTGATGTTTTTTATCATCCTTGTGGGAGGCTTCTCTCATGTCCCCGCATGAGGAGCTGGAGCTGATAGAGGGAGCTCATCTGCCTCTCCCCGGATTCGAACCTGCGACCTGTCGGTCTTCAGTCCTGCCGGCACATGGGTTTAACTCACTGCGCCACTGGAGGCTCCTGGAGGCGCTGGAGGTGGTCAGTTGAAACATTCACACCTAGCTCCAGCAGACGAGAGTCCTTTGTCCCACCCTGGTCATTCCACAGATATATAAACCATTTTTCCTAGTTCCAACAGACCTCACTACCTCTGAGGATGCTTGCCATAGATGCAGGCGAAACATCAGGAGGGAATGCCTCTAGACCATGGCCATACAGCGCAAAAAAATCTACAACAACCCATTATTTTCGTTGCTACTTCATAACAGTCATTTTGCTACTGTTATGAATCGCAATGTAAATATCTGATATCCAGGATGTATTTTCATTCTCTGGATCAAATCTGGCACAAATACCTGGTGGGGTTGGGGGGGGGGGTCTTGATTTTGTCATCTGGGAGTTGTAGTTTCTGGAATTTATAGTTAACCTGCAATGAAAGAGCATTCTGAACTTCACCAGTGATGGAGTTGAACCAAACTTGGCACACATAATTTATTATTTATTATTTACTAGCTGTCCCCTGCCACACGTTGCTGTGGTCCAGTCTGGTGATCTGGAAAATAAAGTAATGAGCAAGTGTTGGTTTCTAATATATGTAATT